TGTGATTTGATATGATTCTCCTAACATCTTTTGTGTGATTTGTTTGTTTTCTACTAGAATATTACATAATTCTTCTTAAATTGCTTTGTTATTGTCTTTCTGTATCATTCATTGCTAAATATAAAAAAAAAAAACTGAATGTTGGAAACTACAAATCCTATACAGTCGTATGTTTACATTTATCACTGCTGCACTTTAAAAAATGACAATCTCTTGAGAGCTGTACTGAACGAAGAATCTTTTTGCATACACTCTCTGTGTAGAAAATGACAAAGTCTAAGTCTAAATCTCTCCTTCTTGCCGGGTGAGATGCTGCACCTGGAAAAAAAGCTGCACATTTTGAGTGGCTCATGCATTAATAATATCCATTCTGTCAGAGGTCAGCATCCTGGTCGTTCCCTCACTGTTCAGGATTAGAAAGACACTGAACCGAGGGATTAACATGGAAACGAATAAAGCTGTCATAGGAAAACAGAACAGGAGACTAATGCAAGAACACCTTCCAAGTACACGTATAGAAATGACATAAAGTATAAAGTGGAGGTTTCTTGAGCGTTCCCCTTTAAAAAAAAAAAACTAGTCATTTGTCGAAGTAACAGCTGAAGGCGCATTACAACCTGCAGGCCTCCGTTTTCACTCCTGTCACTCTAGATCTGCTGTGTGACGCAGAGGAATCCTTCTGCTGTGTGCTTCAGCTAAAGCCAGCTTCAGCTCACCAGGTTCATGCTGTGAGAGATGAAATATGAGATTTGCTCGCAGGAGGCTTTGGAGCATTAGACCGTGAAGCCACAACATGTGGTAAAGGTGTTGCTTTCTCACTCGCACTGTGGTTTATTTCTTCCAAAAGCTGTTTTTATTATGTTTGAAGTTCCTGTTGATCAGGAATTGTTTTTCGGTTTTTATTCCTGGAAGTTATAAATCTTTCAATTTTGTTTGCAACTATTAGCTTGGTGTTTTGAGCACATTAACAATCCCTGAATGGGATAATCTAAATTAAAATTAAGGTTCAAGAGAGGATACAAAACAAACGTCACAAGGTCAAGTTGGTAAAGTGCCAGATGTCCTGGAATCAAAGCAGGGAGGCGTTTCAGACAATTTACTTCTTGACATAATTTTTTTTTTTTTTTATTGCTTTGACTCAAATGTACAAGATCTAAACACAGCATTTTACAATGGACTCCCTGAAACATGCATTATGTAGATCATTTGCATGGTAACTTTAGCCACACCTGAGAAGAACAGAAAAGTTGATTTTTTTTATTTAACAGCTTATATCATCTCAAAATATATCTGACGACTTAAAACTAGTTGTCCCATAATCCAAACACTCACAGAAACGAAGGTTGTAGTTTTTACAAATTGTTGCAACCAAACAGGATGTTGGTGTAAGAGAGTTTATTGTTATTATTTTATGCTTCCTTTTTTTTTAGAGTGTAACTGAATGCTACTGAATCGTGTTTATTTTCATGGCTGTCAAGCAGTTCCTCCCCTTGGCTACATGCATCATAAGGCTCGCCTTAGTTTAAATGAATCATGCCAAAGCCACCAAGGTGTTAATTTTATAAAGTTATTTATGCATTATTGGCTGACAATTTACCTAATAATCTTTCATTTTAAATGGGAAATTCTGGCCTTTTTAGGAAAACATTTTTTTTATTTTTTTTTTTATTTAACCAGGAAGTCCCATTGAGATTCAGAATCTCTTTTTCAAGAGAGACATGGCCAAGGTAGCAGCCAAACCACAGAAAGTTCATACGTATTTACAACATATTACATTTTGCATAATAAAAAATAAAGAATAAAAAAAATGTAAAAATAAAATCAGAGCAGTATGTTAAAACAACAAGCATCTCAAGAAAAACAAGCACATATCTCCATCACTACATTCTTCATGGTTGCTTTAAATTCATTAATGGACACGAGAGTTTCTCATTTTTATTTATTTATTTTTTTAACAAGCATTCCTGCTATGGAGCAAAGAAAATGAGTCGTACATTATTTCAGTTTGAAATACTTCTATACAAGCAAGAAGTCAATTATTCAATTTTTTTTTATAGATTACATGGCCCTTTATTTGACTTGTTTGACTGGATTTCTATTTATTTAAAACCAAATTTTAGATGTTTTTTATTGCTGTACTGAAACTACCAAATAGTATTAAAGTTGTAGGGAAGTCATATTTAANAAAAAACTAGTCATTTGTCGAAGTAACAGCTGAAGGCGCATTACAACCTGCAGGCCTCCGTTTTCACTCCTGTCACTCTAGATCTGCTGTGTGACGCAGAGGAATCCTTCTGCTGTGTGCTTCAGCTAAAGCCAGCTTCAGCTCACCAGGTTCATGCTGTGAGAGATGAAATATGAGATTTGCTCGCAGGAGGCTTTGGAGCATTAGACCGTGAAGCCACAACATGTGGTAAAGGTGTTGCTTTCTCACTCGCACTGTGGTTTATTTCTTCCAAAAGCTGTTTTTATTATGTTTGAAGTTCCTGTTGATCAGGAATTGTTTTTCGGTTTTTATTCCTGGAAGTTATAAATCTTTCAATTTTGTTTGCAACTATTAGCTTGGTGTTTTGAGCACATTAACAATCCCTGAATGGGATAATCTAAATTAAAATTAAGGTTCAAGAGAGGATACAAAACAAACGTCACAAGGTCAAGTTGGTAAAGTGCCAGATGTCCTGGAATCAAAGCAGGGAGGCGTTTCAGACAATTTACTTCTTGACATAATTTTTTTTTTTTTTTATTGCTTTGACTCAAATGTACAAGATCTAAACACAGCATTTTACAATGGACTCCCTGAAACATGCATTATGTAGATCATTTGCATGGTAACTTTAGCCACACCTGAGAAGAACAGAAAAGTTGATTTTTTTTATTTAACAGCTTATATCATCTCAAAATATATCTGACGACTTAAAACTAGTTGTCCCATAATCCAAACACTCACAGAAACGAAGGTTGTAGTTTTTACAAATTGTTGCAACCAAACAGGATGTTGGTGTAAGAGAGTTTATTGTTATTATTTTATGCTTCCTTTTTTTTTAGAGTGTAACTGAATGCTACTGAATCGTGTTTATTTCCATGGCTGTCAGGCAGTTCCTCCCCTTGGTTACGTGCACCATAAGGCTCGCCTTAGTTTAAATGAATCAGGCCAAAGCCACCAAGGTGTTAATTTTATAAATAATCTTTCATTTTAAATGGGAAATTCTGGCCTTTTTAGGAAAACATTTTTTTTTATTTTTATTTTCTTATTTAACCTTTATTTAACCAGGAAGTCCCATTGAGATTCAGAATCTCTTTTTCAAGAGAGACCTGGCCAAAGTAGCAGCCAAACCACAGAAAGTTCATACATATTTACAACATATTACATTTTGCATAATAAAAAATAAAGAATTAAAAAAAAATTAAAATTTTTTTTTAAAATAAAATCAGAGCAGTATGTTAAAACACATCAAGCATCTCAAGAAAAACAAGCACATATCTCCATCACTACATTCTTCATGGTTGCTTTAAATTCATTAATGGACACGAGAGTTTCTCATTTTTATTTATTTATTTTTTTAACAAGCATTCCTGCTATGGAGCAAAGAAAATGAGTCGTACATTATTTCAGTTTGAAATACTTCTATACAAGCAAGAAGTCAATTATTCAATTTTTTTTTATAGATTACATGGCCCTTTATTTGACTTGTTTGACTGGATTTCTATTTATTTAAAACCAAATTTTAGATGTTTTTTATTGCTGTACTGAAACTACCAAATAGTATTAAAGTTGTAGGGAAGTCATATTTAAATGTTAAATTATTCTGGCTTAAACAAGTATATAAATGTACTCTTTATCAGACTATGTTGTCCCAAAATTTAGAAAATTTCTATTTAAAAAAAAACTGTCTTAAAATCTGTGATTTTTGTTTCGGCCAGTTATACGTCAGCTTGTACACCTTAATTCGGCCAATCATATATCAACAGTCATCTGTCAATCAAATTTTTTCAGTCATAGCATCTTGATTCATATGTCGCAGCTAATATACACAACGGTTCAAATAAGAAATTAGAATCATTTCCTTTCCCATTGAGTTGCATCCCAGTGTTCACGGGGATGGACGTCTGTGTCTTCAGCAGGCGTAGAGCTAACAGAACTGGCAGCGTTGCGAGGCAAGGGCTCAAACATGAACGGCTGGAAGCCTTCTACACCAAACCAAGCTTCTGCCACCCTGGCCTCCCCTTCCACAACATCTTTCCTCCTCTAAATAAAATATGTGTGACGGAGGAGACTCATCCACGACCTCCGACACTAAACTTTCCTCCTCTTGCATGTTTCCGCTATACATAGCGTTCCTTGACAGTGTCGTTTCTAAGTCACCAATTTAGTGCTACTTGGTCGCAATGGAATTTCCCATTGGGAACCTACCAGCACTAAGTTGCTACACTGGAAAAAATCGTCATTTTTTCTTAAAATAAGTTCATTTGTTCTTGAATTGAGGAGGTAAAGCAGACATTTTGCCAATGGAACAAAACAATTTACATTTCAAATAAGAAACCACAATTGCATTGTCTTATTTCAAGTGCATATTATCTAATTATCTTATTTTAAGGGTAAGAATACTCATTCCATTGGCACACTACCTCATTACCCACTCAAATTAAGGGTAAATACACTTAATTTGGGACATTTTTACTTATTTCTAGATAGTTTTTCCAGTGTAACTGGTTAGCAAGATGCTTCCGAGACATCGGCTGCAACCAAACTTGCTTCCGAACCTTCTGCCACAACTATCCCGCCCCCTTGATAATCGACCAATCACATTCACTTTATTCACTCTTGTAAAGTCGGGCACCACTCAGGAGAATTCGAAAATGCAACGGTTGGAACAGCCGCTTCCCTACGACTTTAAATGCAGTTGGTTATGAATTGATGCTGAACTGACCGAGTTCTATATTTTTCTGCTAATAGGTTTATTGTTTGTGGAGATGTAATAATCGTCTTTGTTCTCTTCCAGGGTGGATTCCTGTTTTTCCGCTGTCTACCTAAGAGCGACATCCACCTCCAGCCCTGGCTTCAGGGCCAGCATATTTACCCCTGTGGACACCCCCACCTCTTTTGTGTCCTAAAGCTTCAGAAACGTCTGCAATCCTTCTGGGGGTCGACCCCCTGCCCACCAACATCTACTGCCGCCCTCCCAGGTACTCCAGGGACGGGACTCTGCTACGTTTTACTGACAGACCCCTCCGGACCGTCGAATGACAAGCGTGCTTCGGAGGGCGGGGCTTGCCTCAGTCTCTCATGATTGGCTGCTGGATGGAATTGAGGTGAATGGAACACATGCCCAAGGAGCAGGACTCTAACCCATCAGAGGGAGAAGAGAAACAGTGAGTTTAAGTCTTTTAGACATTTTTCTTCTTATATCACCGTTTTTCCCCCATTATTTAAGCATTACCAGATAAACATGCTTTGTTCTCCACTTCTGAACTGTTTTCTGAGAACTCAGGGCTCGTAGCTGTTTTTAAGCCCCCTAAGTCTGACGTTTAAGTTCGGTTGTTGAGAAGCAGAGCTAAGGGCAAACAAACACTGCACTGTTTTGACCCCCACTCATTAATGAAAAAATAATATTAGTGAAAGAGGGTGCAGGAGGAAGGCATCAGAGGCCTTTGGTTTGGGACCTAATGGAGAATTTTACCCTTAATCCTCAGTCTAAACACTGATGAATAATTCCCTCACTGACTGAGCAGATTTGAGCAGGAAGATCTAAAATCTTGATTGGTCTTCTTTTTTTTATGCATTGAAATTTAAAAGCCTCTGCATGTTTTTATCTCGCCTTGGATTCTGTTTATTATGAATTTGCCATAGTAACATTTTGGGCTCAATGAAAAGTATTTGCCTCGATGCAAAAAGGAGCAATGCATGCCAGCATAGCAAGCATCCAGCCTGTTCACAAAAAGCATTATTCCTACTATTTTCATACGTCAAACTTACTGGTAACGGCATGGATTTAAAATACATTTCCTTGTTTACATAAAAAGCTTAATGGTTAAAAAAAAAAAGCTGCTTTATTTAACTGGTGTGTCAGCCACCTACTGGTCAATCAATGCATGTTCATCAAAGACAAAATCAACATCTTTCTGGTCTTTCTATAAGAATTTGACCTTGGAATAAAAATTAAACAAAAAATTGGTAGAATTAGTTAAAACTAAATATATTTTAAAATTGACGTCTTGTTTTTATGTGGAGTCATTTTTCTGAACATCTGGCTAATAAAGAGTCCATGCATCACTGACTCTTTTAGTTTGCATTACTTTTAAAATATTAGATATTAAACAAAAAAAAACATTTTTTTTGTTAAAGGAGAATTCCGGTTTTTAACACTTTTA